GGTCTTCTGACACTGAGGTCTTCTGACACTGAGGTCTTTCTCCCACTGAGGTCTTCTCACATTGAGGTCTTCTGACACTGAGGTCTTTCTCCCACTGAGGTCTTCTGACACTGAGGTCTTTCTCCCACTGAGATCTTCTCACACTGAGGTCTTTCTCCCACTGAGGTCTTCTCACACTGAGGCCTTCTCACACTGAGGTCTACATTTTTATATATATTACTAGCTGTGCCCTGCCACGCGTTGCTGTGGCCTATAGTAAAACTTATCAAAGTTGAGGTAGATATCTGGACTATTATGAAAGAGAGGTCCCTACCTATTCCTTCCCCCTTTTCCTCCCCCTTTCTCTCCTTTCTTCCTTCTCTACCTCTTTCCTTCTTTCACTACTTGGTTTCATCCTTCTCTCTTTCCTTCATTCCCTCCCCCTTTCTTCCTTTGCCTTTCTTCCCTCCCTGTTTGCTTCCTTCTTTCACTTTTTATTTCCTTTTATTTTACCACCATCATAACAATAACAATAATGCAATGCATTGCCTCTGGGACCTGACACCTCTCCCATTCCTCCAGGGTCTCATAGGAACAATAGCATAATAATAATAATAATAATAATAATAATAATAATAATAATAATAATAATAGAAATAACAACCTTTACCCGCCACGTGTTGCTGTGGCCAATCTTCCCTCTTTCTCTCCTTCTTTCCCTCCTTCCTTCCTTCCTTCCCTCCCATCTTTCCTTCTCCTCTTCTTTCTCTATCTCTTTCCTTCCTTCCCCCTTTTTCTTTCTTTTCTGCTGTCTCTCTTTTCTTTCCTTCCATCTTTCCTTTTTTTTCCTTTTCTTCTTCCTCTAACTTTCCTTCCTTCCCCCTTTTTCTTTACCTCCCTTTCTCTTTCTTCCTTCTTTCCTTCCTTCCTGTCTTTCCTAGATTTTGACAGGGCGGGAAGGGGGGGGGGGGGGTTTGGAGGTGGCGTGAAGTAAAAGGAGGTAAGATTGGGGTGGGGGAGGGATGGAGCGTGGGGTTGTGTGTGTGTGTGCAGCGGCGGGGGGAGTGATGGAGCGTGGGGTTGCTGTGTGTGTGGCGGCGGGGGGAGTGGGGTTGCGTGTGTGTGTGCGGCGGCGGGGGGAGTGATGGAGCGTGGGGTTGCGTGTGTGCGTGCGGCGGCGGGGGGAGTGATGGAGCGTGGGGTTGCGTGTGTGTGTGCGGCGGCGGGGGGAATGGGGTTGCGTGTGTGCGTGCGGCATCGGGGAAAGTGATGGAGTGTGGGGTTGCGTGTGTGTGTGCGGCGGCGGGGGGAGTGGGGTTGCGTGTGTGTGTGCGGCGGCGGGGGGAGTGATGGAGTGTGGGGTGTGTGTGTGTGCGGGAAGCGGCGCGGCGGGGCTTGGAGGGGGCATGGTTTCCGCAGAGGGAACGTTGGCCGGAAGGGCATGTGCGCGCGCCAGGGAACTTGCGGCTGGCGCCAATGCGCATGCTCAGTTGTTTTGCCGTTTTGTGAGTGTGTTGTTGTGTTGTTTTTCATTTTGAGTAGATACGTTTGTACCTTGTGGGTTGTGTTATGGGCATGGGAATTTTGGTTAAGTTTCGTTGGGGTTTTTTTGAGTTTTGTTTTTTTTTGCCGTTTTGAGTGTGTTGTTGTGTTGTTTTTCATTTTGAGTAATATGTTTGTACCTTGTGGGTTGTGTTATGAGCATGGGAATTTTGGTTAAGTTTCGTTGGTTTTTTTAGAGTTTTATTCTTTTGCCGTTTTGTGAGTGTGTTGTTGTGTTGTTTTTCATTTTGAGTAGATATGTTTGTACCTTGTGGGTTGTGTTATGGGCATGGGAATTTTGGTTAAGTTTCGTTGGGGGTTTTTGAGTTTTGTTGTTTTGCCGTTTTGTGAGTGTGTTGTTGTGTTGTTTTTCATTTTGAGTAGATATGTTTGTACCTTGTGGGTTGTGTTATGGGCATGGGAATTTTGGTTAAGTTTCGTTGGGTTTTTGAGTTTTGTTGTTTTGCCGTTTTGTGAGTGTGTTGTTGTGTTGTTTTTCATTTTGAGTAGATATGTTTGTACCTTGTGGGTTGTGTTATGGGCATGGGAATTTTGGTTAAGTTTCGTTGGGGGGTTTTTGAGTTTTGTTTCCTCGTTGTATGCCCCTAACAAATTTATATATAATAATAATAATAATTTGTTGTTGTTCATTCGTTCAGTTGTCTCCGACTCTTCGTGACCTCATGGACCAGCCCACGCCAGAGCTCCCTGTCGGCCGTCACCACCCCCAGCTCCTTCAAGGTCAGTCCAGTCACTTCAAGGATGCCATCCATCCATCTTGCCCTTGGTCGGCCCCTCTTCCTTTTACCTTCCACTTTCCCCAGCATCATTGTCTTCTCTAGGCTTTCCTAAATATAATTATAATAACATATTATTATTAGTATCATGTTGTATTCCATTATAATAATGCAAATATTACGGTATATGTATATACAATATATTATATTACATGGGTCCTTGGTCTCTCTTTCAGAGTGAAGCATGGCTTCCGAACTAGACAGGGCAGACGACGAGTCGGAGATAAGCACAATAAAAGAGTTGCCATCGGAGATGGAAACGTTGCTGCCGCCACCACCGCCGCCGGTCGTCCTCCGGCCGCTCTCTCCGCAGACGGACGCCCGGTGGAAGGCCGTCTTCTACAAGAGCGTCCAGGCGAGGGCTTTGGGCCTCCAGGACCGGCGAGTGGACAAGTTCGACCGGGAGAAGGCCTTGGAGAAGAAGACGGAGAGGAAGGAGCCGCCGGACATTCTGGCCCGGGAGTGGTTCGACGACGAGCGGGCGGCTTTGGAGACCCGGGCTTACCTCCTGGACAAGCTCCTTCCCACCTTGGTCCCCGGAGTGGAGAAGCTGCTGCGGGTGGCGGAGAGGAAGGAGGCTCTGGAGAAGCTGGAGCCCCGCAAGTTCGACCCCATTACCTTCCTGGGGGAGTACCTGATGAGGAACAACCCGGCCTTCCAGATCTCGGCCACCTTGGATCCATACCAGAGGGGCATGAAGGCCGTCACGGAGGAGCTGAAGACCAAGGTGCCCAAGACCACGCAAAACAAGTGAGTGCGCCCGACCCGTCCACTGATCCCCATTCATCCGAAAAGTCCCATATTGGCTCAAATCGAGTGCTTACCTATTTGGGGATGAATGACCTTGCCAAAATTGGGGTGTACATTCGATTTGCATCATACAATCGGTCATCTTAGTGCTGAGCCAAAGCAAAAAGGGAAGCTGAACCAAACAGGTATGTCTACCCTGTTTGGCACATGTCTGCCCACGGGACACAGGTGAACACAGCATTGAAGGAAACATGCAGGGTAATCACAGGATGTCTTAAACCTACACCTGTTGATAAGACTCTATAACCTCTATAACCTTTCTCAACCTGGGGGTCAGGACCCCTGGAGGGGTCGCAAGGGGGTGTCACCAAAGACCATCAGAAAACAGTATTTTCTGTTGATCATGGGTGTTCTGTGTGGGAAGTTTGGCCCAATTCAATCATTGGTAGGGTTCAGAATGCCCTTTGATAGTAGGTGAACTATAAATCCCAGCAACTACAACTCCCAAATGTCAAGGTCTGTTTGCCCCAAACTCTACCAGTGTTCTCAATTGAGAATTCGTGCCAAGTTTGGTCCAGATCTATCATTGCTTGAGTCCACAGTGCTCTCTGGATGTAGGTGAACTACAACTTCAAAACTCAAGGGCAATGTCCACCAAACCCTTCCAGTATTTTTTGTTGGTCATGGGAGTTCTGTGTGCCAAGTTTGGTTCAATTCCATCGTTAGTGGAGTTCAGAATGCTCTTTGATTGTAGGTGAACAATAAATCCCAGCAACTACAACTCCCACGGGATAAAATCAATCCCTCACACCATTCCCACCAGTATTCAAATTTGGACGTATTGGGTATTTCTGCCAAATTTGGTCCAATGAAAGAACGTACATCCTGCATACCCGATATTTACATTAAGATTCACAGCAGCAGCAAAATGACAGTTGTGAAGTAGCAACAAAAATAATTTTATGGTTGGAGGAGCCACCATAACACGAGGAAGTGTATTAAGGGGTCGTGACATTAGGAAGGTTGAGAACCACTGCTCTATAAGCTAGCTGGCATTGCTCCCCTGATGTGCGACGGGAAGTTGCTGCCAATTGCGAGAGAAATAAAGTTGAACACTGGGAACGCCACTCACTGCATAGCTATCGGCCTATTCCCAGTAGACTCAAATCAAGGGAAAGCTTCATGAGAACCACCACCACCCTTAACGTTCCCCCAGCAACAGCAAGGGTGTCCCTCTGGGCAGGAAAACCAGGAAATCCCAATTTGGTGCCCCCCCCCCCTCCATAAGGGTATGCCTCGAGGAGCAAACCAAGAATGGGCAACTCAGAAGTCCATGGACAGAATCAGAAGTGGAATGGGCAGATCATAACACAACCTGGCAAAATGGCATGACCTAGAAGAATCCTCCACCTTGTGCGACTGTGGAGCAGAACAGACAACCTTCACACTGGAGATTCACACAGTAGCTTTATACACAGCTTTACACACGAGGCCTTCAATATGGGGTTCTTACAGACTAGGGCCTACTCATACTGTGAAGCCTTCTCTAACAGACCAAAGCCTATCTCACACTGTGAGGCCTTCTCGCAGACTGAGACTTTTCTCCCACTGAGGCAAACTAACACAGAGCCTCTTCTCACACTGAAGTTACACAGGAGCTTCACACAGTAGATTTTTACACAAAGAAGCCTTCACACACAATGTCCTTCAACCTGGGGATTCTCTCACAGAAGCTTCTCACACCAGGCCTTCTCACACTGAGGCCTACCTCACACTGAGGTCTTCCTCCCACTGAGGTCTTCCTCCCTCCCACAATGGCCTTCAACCTGAGGCTTCCCTCATGGAAGCTTCTCACACCAGGCCTACTCACACTGAGGCCTACCTCACACTGAGGTCTTCCTCCCTCCCACAATGGCCTTCAACCTGCGGCTTCTCTCACTGAAGCTTCTCAGACCAGGCCTTCTCACACTGAGGCCTACCTCACACTGAGGCCTACCTCACACTGAGGTCTTCCTCTCACTGAGGTCTTCCTCCCTCCCACAATGGCCTTCAACCTGGGGCTTCTCTCACTGAAGCTTCTCACACCAGGCCTTCTCACACTGAGGCCTACCTCACACTGAGGTCTTCCTCCCACTGAGGTTTTCCTCCCTCCCACAATGGCCTTCAACCTGGGGCTTCTCTCACTGAAGCTTCTCACACCAGGCCTTCTCACACTGAGGCCTACCTCACACTGAGGTCTTCCCCCCACTGAGGTCTTCCTCCCTCCCATAATGGCCTTCAACCTGGGGCTTCTCTCACTGAAGCTTCTCACACCAGGCCTTCTCACACTGAGGCCTACTAACACTGAGGCCTACCTCACACTGAAGTCTTCCTCCCACTGAGGATGGTGCTTGGATGGTGCTTTTCCTGCCTGGCTGAAGAGGGTTGGACTGGATGGCCCCTTGGGGGTCTCTCCCATGAGTCTATGAAAGAGAGATGCTTTCTATCTGGGTCCCATCAGGCTCGCCGAAATGAAGGCTTTGGTGGAAGAGAGGCGGCACGAGCGGGAAGAGGTGGACAAGATCAAGGACCACGTGACGGAGATCCGCAAGCGGGCGCTGGGCATGCAGTTCAGGGAGTGGACGCAGGACACCGCCGGGCGCATTCCCCTCGCACTGGTACGAACTGGGGCACAACGACTGGGGGGAGTGGTTCGTTCCGGAGTCTCTCTCTCAAGATGAAGGATGATTTCTTCCTCTACAGTGTTCCCTCACTTATTGCGGGGGTTACATTCCAGGACATACCGCAATAAGTGAAAATCCGCGAAGTTGGGACACTATATTTATTTTAATATTTCTACATAACTAGCCGTCCCCTGCCGTGCGTTGTTCTGGCCCACATGGGGGTTCTGTGTGGGAGGTTTGGCCCAATTCTATCGTTGGTGAGGTTCAGAATGCCCTGTGATTGTAGGTGAACTATAAATCCCAGCAACTACAACTCCCAAATGTCAAGATTCTATTTCCCCGCAAACTCCACCAGTGTTCACATGTGGGAATATTGAGTATTCGTGTAGAGTTTGGCCCAGATCCATCCTTGTTTGAGTCCACAGTGCTCTCTGGATGTAGGTGAACTACAACTTCATAACCAAAGGACACTGCCCACCAAACCCTTCCAGTATTTTCTGTTGCTCATGGAAGAACTGTGTGTCAAAGTTTGGTTCAATTTCATCATTGGTGGGGTTCGGAATGCTCTTTGACTGTAGGTGAACTATAAATCCTAGCAACTACAACTCCCAAATGACAAAATCAATTTTTTTGAGTGAAGGACATACGTTGGGTTGTTAGGTGTCTTGTGTCCAAATTTGGTGTCAATTCGTCCAGTGGTTTTTGAGTTCTGTTCATCCCACAAACGAACATGACATTTTTATTTATATAGATTATAGTAGTTATACACTATTTTAAGTCTTTATAAACTTAAAATAAAGTGAAGGAAAGGAATGAGGGAGGACTGGAGGGAGGGATGATTGAGGAAGGAAAGTGCCTTGAAGAGCGGCAGCGGCAAAAACCCACAAAAGAGCGAAAACACTGCAATATATATTTAAATTAATATTTATTGAAAACCGCGAAACTGCGAGTCCGCGATAAGTGAACCGCCAAGTAGCGAGGGAACACTGTACTCCGCATCCGCTTATCCTTATGGATTTTGGTTGGCAAGGGTTTTTAGTAGGTGGTTGATGCAATGTCCTCCCGAGCCGTAAAAGCCGACTCCAGCTCCCTGTCATGCTCACCTTTGTATTGGTCCCATATATATTACTGTCATTCAGGTTCCAACATGCACACAATTTGGGTTCCGCTGCCCTGCTTCGAGAACTCTTGCCTAGGAAGCAAATCCAGCTAAGCTTCTCCATACGCGAAGAAAGTCTCTTTCCCAAACTCGGGGCAGTATCACAACTTTTATGCGCTGGACTGTGACTATTTATATATTGTCTTGACTCCTTTTAATGAGCTGTTGCCCAACAGCGAGGCAAAAACTCCGTATCGAGGCATATGTTGGAAAGTTGCATCATGTTGCAGCTGCTCCAAAGTTGTCTCGACGATACCTCTGTAAAAACCGTGAAATCCGGCATCTCCGGCCCATGACTCGCCATTTGTTGCTGGGCAAGACCTGCCAGAACATGCACAATGAGGCATGTTTTGAGTCCAAGCAATGCCTCTAAATCAGGCCTGGGCCAACTTCGGCCCTCCCTCCCTCCAGGTGTTTTGGACTCCAACTCCTATTGAAAATCCCATCACCTATTGGAAATAACTGCACCGTAACCTTACTGAAAAATAAAAAATGATGTCACATCCGTTTGGAAAATGTGAATCTCCATGAACACTAGTCAAGAAAAGCATGACCTTTTTAGAAGTCAACTCTTTGAGCAAGTGATATTCATAAGTGTTCTCGTAATGGCACACGGGTTCCACAGTTGTTAAACTGAAGAACTATGTCTTTAAACTGCCAAGGATAAAGACGCGCCACTACACAAATATATTGGGTTAGCAAAGGATGGTTGTTGCACTTGTACTTGATGCATCCACCTCCACTGGGGTCTGATGCAAACACATCCACCTCCAATTAGGTGTTGTTCACAACAGATTGAATTACAAAATGGAGTCCTGAGTCTGAACATGCGCAGTATAACCTCATGTCTATAACTGTTCTGTTGCGCGCTGGGCCTGTAAAGAATTTCCTTTAGAACAGGATGTGCAACCTTTGCCCAGCGGGAAGCCCAAGGAGAAGTTCTCAGAGGTTTTCCACCACAAATAGTCTTTAGATGGCTTGTGAAGTATAACAAAGTCTTTTATTAATGAACAATCAAACAGAAACTTCTCTTGTCTTCAGAAAGTTAAACAAATGATTCCAGGCTTTTATGCAACTGGTAGCTTCCTAAACTTGCCCACGAAGGACAGGCAACTGTCTTCAATAACTTCTTCTTTACTTTAAAGGAAAGCCCCCTTTTTAACTTCTCCCAGGCTGACTGTAATCTAGCCCTTACTGATGTGAGCTCCGCTACCGGGTCAAACTGCTTCTCGAATGCCGAGTGGACCTACCAGTAAAGGCTTAGATGTTCTCCAGCTAGAGTTCTTTGATCTTTAGGGCTGTTTCCCTGGAAATCCTTGGAGACTCTTAAGACTGTTCTCCCCCGGAAAGTCTTGGATGCTCTTAAGACTGCTTCCCCCTGGAAAGTCTTAAGGGTTGAAGCTTTTGTACAGGAGAAGCTTGCACACGTCCTGTACATTAGTTTTCCTTGCTGAGACTAACAAAAATGGCTCCCTTCCCTTCTCAATTGCCCTGAGCAAGGGGCAGAACCAAAACTTAACAATGATGGACAGGTGACTTGCCCTATGACTGCAACCAAAGGAAGCCACCTATCTGCAGAGTCCCTGAAAACTTGGACTGCAAGCAAACATTTAATACAAAGCAAATAAAATTGGAGCTCCTGGTACAGCCGTACCAGAACAATTACCCCTCCCACACCAAAGAGATAAGTCAAACTGGCATATCAACATACACCTAGAATACAGGTTAGCAAACATACACATTAACAAACGAACAGAGAAAGACTTGGGAGGTTGCGATTTCCAACAACTCCCACAATTCCTAACCGACTACCTATTCCATCCAATGATTTAAATCTGTTGACATTTTGGATTGGAAATGTTCCCAATGAGCACAGGCCTGTTGTTCTGAACCTGATGGGACTTGGAGTCCTTGAAATGGGTCCTTTTGCTTGCAGATCCAAAGCGCCCTGAGGTCATTCCTGGAGGTTGTCCGCCTGGCACCTGAGACAGGTAAAGTCATGCCCATCTTCTTCCCTCACTTTGTGGGACACCGAAGACCCCAGAGAATCAAAGGCGAGGGGGATATCTGTTTCTGTTCAGCACCATGAGGACTAGAGCCATAGAAGTTTATGCAACGTCTCCAAGGCTTGATCCAAATTGTCCTTTCTGCTGTCCTGGAGACTAGGATTCAAAGGAGCCATGGATTCAAATGACAGGAAAGGAGATTCCATTTGAACATTAGAATCATAGAATCATAGGTGCGCACAACACTGGCTTATATAGGTTAAACAGGAAGCAAACACTCACTCCCAGAGAGCTTCAAAGATAAAGAACAATCAGTCACTAATTGCTGCCTTGAAACTGTCAATCACTGTTGGCTAAAGAATTTAGCCTCGCCTCCCAAACAAAACAAACACTCAGAGCAGCTAGTCTCAAACACACACTCCGATTTCTAATGCACTCTAAGACAAGGCTTGCCTGAAGCAAAGGGAGAAAAGGTGGCTTCTTGCTTCCACAACTTCTGTGAGCTCAGACCCTAACAGGAAGCAAACATTCACTCCCAGAGAGCTTCAAAGATAAAGAACAATCAGTCACTAATTGCTGCCTTGAAACTGTTAATCACTGCTGGCTAATGAATATAGCCTCGCCTCCCAAACAAAACAAACACTTGGAGCAGCTAGTCTCAAACACACACTCAGATTTCTAATGCACTCTAAGACAAGGCTTACCTGAAGCAAAGATAGCTTCCACAATTTCTGTGGGAACTCAACTGCCACTTGAACTCAGACCCTAATAGGAAGCAAACACTCACTCCCAGAGATTAGAAAGAACTTCCTGAATATAACGAAAGCTGCTAAACAGTGGAACTCTCTTCTTCGGAGTCTAGTGGAGGCTCGCTCTTGGAGGCTCTGAAGCAGAGGCTGGATGGCCATCGGTTGGGAGGGCTCAGATTGTGCTTTTCCTGCATGGCAGAGGGTTGGACAGTTTCCAACAGACCTCCCAACCTCTGAGGATGCCTGCCAGAGATGTAGGCGAAACGTCAGGAGAGAATGCTTCTGGAACATGGCCAGGCAGCCCAGAAAACTTCACCTTTCTCCACTGATATCCCTACGAAAGCCAAGAATATCACCTCAAAACAGAATTAGAGTTATAGGGCAAGTGTGTTTTGGTATCTGATTTTAGCAAAGTTGTTCCTGACCTCTTCAGGTTGTAGGATTTGGGGGTTTGGGGAGGGAATGCCGGTTCTGTGCAAAGATTCTGGGAATCCTCATCTTCCTCCATGTCCAATGTTTTTCATCTCCATAGGGATCTATGCCCGCCCCCTGGAAGCGGTCGGGGCGCTGGAGGTGATGGTGAACCAAGAGGAGTGCATAGAGGTGCGTCTTGGAACTCAACCACATCCTAGTTGTAGCGGGATATTAGCATGATTTTTGTTCCTGGCTTATCAATGATTGATTGTTTGGTTCTGGATCCTCCCTCTGTCTCCGTCCCTCAGTATCTCCTTTCCTACGTCAAGAATTTCAACAGTGACCAGTTTGAACAGCTGCTGAGACATCTCCTTCAATGTGCCAACGATGCCCGAGATGCCCTCAGGCACGACGTCTGGAGGCATATGTTTGTCCAGCTCTTCTTTGACTGCGACCCCGGACAGGTAGATCCATAGATCTCTTGGGAATCCTCTGGCAGATGCTTCCTTTGGGATTGAAGCTGGAGGTTTCTGTCGGGCGAGTGGGCTTGTTAACAAAAGACCCTCCTCATAAATGTACAGCAGAGTAACATTAGCAGCAGCGTGACCCAGCACCAGTAGGCCTCTGTGTTAGTTTGCCTCAGTAGGAGAAAGGTCTCAGTCTGTCAGAGAAGGCCTCGCTGTGTGAGATAGGCCTCAGTCTGTGAGAAGCCCAAAGTGATATGAGAAAAGAACAAAAACACACAGACCAATGTTATCTCTTCCATAGGAGTCTTAGCTTCGTAGTAAAATAATACGAAGTGGCAGGGAGAAGGTTTGAGGAAAAGAGACAAAGAGAGTTCCTGGGGTCTGAAAAAGCACTGTTTATTCTCGGTTGGCGCCAACCGGATATGGACCCTGCTGGTAGTCCAGAAAACAGGGTACTGAAGAAAGAAACGCCTTGGTTTATATACCCTTTCAAAATAATATGCATGCATCATACAGGCATCACAAAATTCTACTTTTACATTGACTTCAATGGTATATTTTAACTTCAACACCTGTCAAGCTTCATTTAAGCACCTTTATCTAAGGAGGTGCTATTAATGAGGATCATCGTGCCAGAGTGTCTACTAGGCTACTGATAGCAAGAGCTTCCATCCATCTTGAGATAAGTTCTTCCTGAAGCCTCTTGATGGCCAGCTCATAAATCTTACGATTTTGGTACGCCTGGTACCAAAATGGAAAGAGTCTCTTGAAAATTGCCAGAGGCCTCTTGACATTCCTTTCCTAGACCCCGGCCTCTCTTGAGGCATCTAATTTTGCAGCTTTTAAGAAGCCCAATGAAGTGAAGTTCATGCCTACATACATCCTTTATATTTTCTAATTCCTACTTCTAATATGGTTACATCCAATATATATTTTCCAATATGCGTATTATGTATTTTCATCTTGCCTTCATCAAATATAGTTGCACTATTTACAACCACAAGGTTTCCATAAGAAAAATGAAGTTCTTTACACTTCCTTCTTTGTTTCCATGCTGGGCTTCTTTCTCATGCAGATAAACAGCTTCGCTCTCACAGAGCCTCTTCTCATACTGAAGTTACACAGAGATTTTTACACACAGCAGCCTTCACACACAATGGCCTTCAACCTGGGGCTTTTTTCACCGAAGCTTCTCACACCAGGCCTTCTCACACTGAGGCCTACCTCATACTGAGGCCTTCTCACACTGAGGGCTCTCTCAGACTGACACCTCTCTCACGCTGAGATGAACTAACACTGAGGCCTTCTCATACTTAGGCCTACTAACACACTGAGGCCTACTAACACTGAGGCCTACCTCACACTGAGGCCTTCCTCCCACTGAGGTCTTCCTCCCTCCCACAGTGGCCTTCAACCTGGGGCTTCTCTCACTGAAGCTTCTCACACTGAGGGCTACCTCACACTGAGGTCTTCCTCCCACTGAGGTCTTCCTCCCTCCCACAATGGATTTCAACCTGGCGCTTCTCTCACTGAAGCTTCTCACACCAGGCCTTCTCACACTGAGGCCTACTAACACTGAGGCCTACCTCACACTGAGGTCTTTCTCCCACCGAGGTCCTCTCACACTGAGGTCTTTCTCAGACTGACACCTCTCCCACACTGAACTAACACTGAGGCCGTCTCATACTTAGGCCTACTAACACACTGAGGCCTACTAACACTGAGGCCTTCCTCCCACTGAGGTCTTCCTCCCTCCCACAATGGCCTTCAACCTGGGGTTTCTCTCACTGAAGCTTCTCACACTGAGGCCTACTAACACTGAGGCCTACCTCACACTGAGGTCTTCCTCCCACTGAGGTCTTCCTCCCTCCCACAATGGCTTTCAACCTGGGGCTTCTCTCACTGAAGCTTCTCACACCAGGCCTTCTCACACTGAGGCCTACCTCACACTGAGGTCTTCCTCCCACTGAGGTCCTCTCACACTGATGGCTTTCTCAGACTGACACCTCTCCCACACTGAACTAACACTGAGGCCTTCTCATACTTAGGCCTACTAACACACTGAGGCCCTTCTCCCACAGAGACCTCTCACTTAGCCCGACTCTGAAGTAAATTAAACGTGGCAATGGTCACTGAGATGACTCTCCCTTTTTCCAAGGTGGGACTCCTGGATCGAGCAAGAGTGTTTTCCTTACTGGAATACTATTACGACAACTGCCTGCAGGACGCCAGGAAGGGGTACCGCGACCCAAAGAAATGTAAGTGTGGTCTCAGGCTGAACTTCTGAAGCTCTGGGGAGTTCATTCAAGGCTCACAACCTCTGAAGATGCCAGCTGTAGCTGCAGGCGAAACATCAGGAGAGAATGCTTCTGGAACATGGCCATACAACCCGAGAAACTTACAGCAACCCTTTCCTCTTCTGTAGGGCCCATGGTCGAACTGGATGACATCGAACTGACCGAGTTTTGGGGGAATATGGAGGACGACGAGCCCATCGTCACCACTGCCGCCGTTTCGGAGGAGTCCCTTCCAGGGTTATCTGTGGAGGCTTTGGTGCTCAACAACATCCTTAAGGGCATCCTCTCCGATCTGGAACTGGACGAAGTGGAGCTGGACACCCTGGAGTTGGCCGTGATCCCAGAGCAGGATGGACAGGTGACCATCATTGTAGAAGATGAGAGCCAAGCTGTTCAAGTGACAGAACAAGCAGAACATACGACCGGCGAAGTGACGGTTCCAGAGGAAGGCTCCCCGGAGAAGGCTGACCCAATCGCTGAAGAAGCCGGCGTCGGAACTACTGATGAAGGAGTGGGACCCGAAACCATCCCTGAGAAGCCACCAGAGATCACCGTGGAAGAAAAGAAGGATGAGCCAGAGCTCAGCGTGGAAGAAAAGGAGACCGGAAAGGGTGAGCCAGAGCTCAGCGTGGAAGAAAAGGAATCAGACAAGACTGAGCCAGAGATCAGCTTGGAAGAAAAGAAGGCCGATGAGGGTGAACAGCCAGAAAAATTGAGTCCACCGTCTGCCTCCGAGCCAGTGGAGATGCCTGCTCCCACTCCATCCCTCTCCCAGATCACCCCCCAGCAATTGGAGCAAGAGTTGGGCCCAGACCTAGAGGGAACTTCCACGGATCAGGCTCCTGGCGCGCAAGGTGCTGGGGAAGAAGAGGCCACCACAAAGGAGGAAGAGCAGAAAGAGAAGACAGACACAGGCAATGCAGAAGAGCAATTCCTGGCGAGTGCTGAGGAGCCGGCAAGCCAGCCATCTGGAGAGGAGGCTACAGGTAGGACCACCAACTCCTGAATTTTCACATGACTAGGCTAAGGGTTATAATGAAGTAGATTAAAGGCCGTCTGACAGGGTATCTCTGCTCATGTGCCTCTGCCACCAAATCTGAATACTAATGGGTTTAGCGGGGGGATTGGGAGTTGTAGTTGCTGAGATTTGCAGTTCACCGACAATCAAAGAGCATTCTGAACTCCAACAACGATGAAATTGAACCAAACTTGGCACACAGAACTCCCATGACCAACTGGGAGGGTTTGGTGGGCATTTGGTGGGAAAATACTGGGAGAGTTTGGTGGGCATTGACCTTGAGTTTGGGAGTTGTAGTTTACCTCCATCCAGAGAGCACTGTGGACTCAAGCAATGATGGATCTGGACGAAACTTGGCACGAATACTCACTATGCCCAAATGTGAACACTGGTGGAGTTTGGGGAAAATAGACCTTGACATTTAGGAGTTGTAGTTGCTGGGATTTGTAGTTCACCTACAATCAAAGAGCATTCAGAACTCCAACAACGATGAAATTGAACCAAACTCAGCACACAGAACTCCCAAGTCCAAGAGAAAATACTGGAAGGGTTTGTAGGCATTAACCTTGAGTTTTAGAGTTGTAGTTCACCTACATCCAGAGAGCACTGTGGACTCAAATAATGATGGATCTGGACCGAACTTGGCACAAATTCTCAGTATGCCCAAATGTGAACACTGGTGGAGTTTGGAGGAAATAGACCTTGACATTTAGGAGTTGTAGTTGCTGCGATTTATAGTTCACCTACAATCAAAGAGCATTCTGAACCCAGAGGCGGCCCTTGGTAATATTCAACGGTAAGCAAACAGTATTTTGCCCCCCCCCCTCCAACCAATCACTGATATATATTTTCTGTTCGTCATGGGAGTTCTGTGTGTCATATTTGGTTCAATTCCATCATTGGTGGAGTTCAGAATGCTCTTTAATTGTAGGTGAACTATACATCCCAGTAACTACAACTCGCATATGTCAAGGTCTATTTTCCCCCAAGAGCGCCTCAAGAGCATCCCTAGGCAAAATCAACTATACTGCAAAGGCTTACTTTGCGTAATGGGTTGAGCCGCCCCTGTCTGAACCCCACCAACGATAGATTTGGGCCAAACTTCCCACATAGAACCCCCATTACCAACAGAAAATATTGTGTTTTTCGATGTTCTTTGGTGACCCCTCTGACACCCACTCGCGACCCCCTCAGGGGTCCCGACCCTCAAGTTGAGCATGCTACAATACAAGGAAGACAATTCCACCTGAACATCAGTAAGAACTTCCTGACCACAAAAGCTGTTTAGCTGTGGAACTCTCTGCCTTGGAATCCAGTGAAGGCTCCTTCTTTGGAGGCTTTAAAACAGAGGTTGGGTGGTCATCTGTTGGGGGTGCTTTGAAATGGTGAGATTGCATGATCTGATAGCGGGATTCTTGTCTGATCGTTGCCTCTGCCATGTCTAGCACGGAGAGCGGTGTGACTCACCCCGTTCAATTATTTACCTGCTGCTTGGGAGGGCGGCCTCCCGCAGAGATGACCTCGGGGCTTTCCGAAAGGGGATGGGTGGGAAGGGAGCGGCGGCCCATTCTCAAAAATGGGTGGCCCCGATTCTGAGGTTGGGGCAGGAAGAACGAGGGAGAGCCTCTATCCGCGTGACTGACAACTAAACGGTGGGACAGTGTGGTCGGGGGGATTCAAGGAGATGTGGTCTAAGAAAGGTAAACATTGGGTTCCATTCTGAACTCCACCTACGATGGAATTGGCACACAGAACTCCCATGACTAAGAGAAAATATTGGAAGGGTTTGGTGGGCATTGACTTTGAGTTTGGGAGTTGTAGTTCACCTACATCCAGAGAGCACTGTGGACTCAAAAATGATAGATCTGGACCCAACTTGGCAAGAATACTCAAATGCGAACACTGGTGGAGTTTGGAGAAAACAGACCTTGACATTTGGGAGTTGTCGTTGCTGGGATTTATAGTTCACCTACAATCAAAGAGCATTCTGAGCCCCACCAATGATAGAATTGAGCCAAACTTCCCACATTGAACTCCCATGACCAACAGAAAATACTGGAAAGATAAGGTGAGCATTGACATTGAGTTTGGGAGTTGTAGTTCACCTACATCCAAAGAGCACCGTGGACTTGAACAGTGATGGATCTGGACCACACTTGGCACAAATACTTAATATGCCCAAATGTGAACCCTATGGTTTGGGGAAAACAGACCTTGACATTTGGGAGTTGTAGTTGCTGGGATTTATAGTTCACCTCCAATCAAAGAGCTTAACCCCATCAACGATAGAACTGGGTGGGTCACATGGCAAACATTCAATGCCATAGACACACAACATATATAGACTGACACACAGAGGCTATTTAACTTTCCAGCTTCATGAGGGTATCTTTGAATTCCGGCCACCGGGGGAGCTGCTGCTTCACCGTCCACTTGTGACACCGATTGAGTACTTCCTCATTCTTTGCATGCTGCTGGGGAGTTTTATGGTTTCGTAAATTAGTTAAATTAGCCTCCTAAATTTCCTACTTGACAGATGCAACTGTCTTTCGGGCCGCAAAGGTCAACAGCAAGCTAGACAAATGGCCGGAAGCTCACTCAAACTCATGACCTCTCGGTCAGTAGTGATTTTAATGCAGCTGACTCCCAACCATCTGCACCACAACCCAGTCCAACGCAATGGGGTGTTGGATTGGGTAACATTGGTTTGGAGTCCACTTCTACCCTTTGCTGTGATGGAAATGCCGTAGTCCATTAGCGAAAGGTCTAGGATTCTTCTCTGTCATGGGCCACCTTCTGCATCCTTTGCCACCGATAATACTTACAGCAATAGCACGTGTAAGTCAATCAAACTTTGTTTCTATCCCTATTTGTCCATTCCCAATCCCCCCGACCGCTTTCTCGTAGGTGTGTTGTCTTTGCCCACCACGCAGGCCAGCCAGGCCGCCAAAAGGGACGTCCAGCTCATCTACGGAGAGCCTTGGTCCGGTGAGTGCGTCCCTCCACTCTCCTCGACATCCGGATCCTGCCCTTTGCGTGAAGCGGTGGCAGGACCTGACGTTTCTCTCGGTCCCTGCAGGTGAGTTTCAGGCGGCCGACCTGTCCTTCAAGTACACCGATTACGGGAAGGAGATCCGGGAGGACTGGAACAACGAAAACTCCAGGTTCCCAGGTGACTTTTTAGGAAGCACCATTCTATCTATCTATCTATCTATCTATCTATCTATCTATCTATCTATCTATCTATCTTATCTATATATCATATCTATCTTTCTATCTATCATCATCATTAATCTATTACCTATCTATCATTGATATCTTATCTATGTATCATATATCTTTCTATCATCATTAATCTATTATCTATCGATCTATCTATCTATCATTGATATCTTATCTATGTATCATATATCTTTCTATCTATCATCATTAATCTATCGATCTATTGACCTATCGACCTATCTATCTATCGATCATTGGTATCTTATCCATGTATCATATATCGATCTATCTATCTATCTATCTATCTATCTATCTATCTATCTATCTATCT